AATCTTGATCTCGCCCACTGCCTGTTCATCCAATAGTATTTCGACACCCCGGGATGCCAGTTAGCAGGAAACCCAGCGTATCGCAGCCTTGGAAACGAGCAATCAAACTGGTCAGAGATTGCAGATTCCACACAACCTAAAAATCCTCGGTATCCATCTAAAAAAATCTATGAACGAAAGCATATTAAAACGCGGATAAATCAACTCATTAACTTACAGTCTGTAAGTCGTCAATTGCGCTCGCTCCTGTTGCGTGTCATTCTTACATGCAGCACCTTTAAAGCAGTCTAGCACAGCTCAAATTAGGCTTGATGATATGATGCTTGAATAAACGGCATGCACTAATAAGGACTTTGTCTTGGCATCTATTGCTGCTCTCCAGTGCATGGATTTTGGTTTTCCTGCACTACAGTCTCATGTCTCAGATGATATAAAGTTGTGGTCAGAATTAATGGCAACCCTGGTAAATATGATCAAAAATGGCTGTAAAAAATAAATCTGCATTGTTTATCCTTTTGATCTTTCATTCAAAAAATTTGGGGTGGGTGTCATTATGAAATAAATGTTTTTCTCCAAAACACGTTGGCCACAATTATTGGCACCCCTAGATTTTTTTTTTTAAGAGTGAAGTATATTCCCCTTAATATTTAAAACATTTTTAGCACACCAGGGTGACTAACATGAAATTGTCCAGCCATGACTTCTTGTTTACAGGAGTTTAAATATGAGGAAACACAAAGGCCAAATTCCCTTAATCATCACAATGAGTAAAACCAAAGAATATAGTTCTGATGTGCATCACAAGATTGTTGAGCATCACAAAATAGAAAGTGGCTGTAAGAAAATAGCTAAAGAATTGAAAATCCCCAATTTGACCATCAGGGCAATAATTAAGAAGTTCCAATCAACTAAAGATGTTACGAATCTGCCAGGAAGTGGACGTGTGTCTATATTGCCTTAATGGACGGTGAGGAGGAGAGTTTGAGTGGCCAAAGACTCTTCAAGGATCACAGATGGAGAATTGCAGAGATTAGTTGATTCTTGGGGTCAGAAAGCCTATAAAACAAAAACCAAACAACCCCTACATCACCACATGTTGTTTGGGAGGGTTTCAAGAAAAATCCTCCTCACTCCTCCAAAAACAAACTCCAGCATATTCAGTTGTCACACACTGGATCTCCAAAAGTGACCGGATTCTATGGTCAGATGAGACAAAAAAAGAGCTTTTTGGCAGCAAAGCCACCAGATGTGTTTGGTGCAAACAGGGATAACAAGTACCCCATACCCACGGTTAAATATACCGCAGTATCTTTAATGTTGTGGGCATATTTTTCTGCTGGAGGTCCTGGACTTCTTGTTCAGACACATGGCATCGTGCATTCTAGCAAATACCAACAGATAAAAAATCAAAACCTTACAGCCTCTGCTAGAAATCTTATAATGGGCCGTGGTTGGATCTTCCATCAGGACAACGATCCAAAACTAACATCAAAATCAACACAAAAATGTGTTTCGCTGCACAAAATGAAGCTTCTGCCATGACTGTCCCAGTTCCCTGAGTGGAGTGAACTGAAGAGAAGAAGCGTAAACATGGATCTGGGAATCTGAAGGATCTGGAGAGATTCTGTATGGAGGAATGGTCTCTGATCTCTTGTCAGTTGTTCTCCAAACTCATCAGGCATTATAGAAGAAAACTCAGAGCTGTTATCTTGGCAAAAGGAGATTGCAAAAGTATTTAATAAAAGGGTGCCAATAATTGTGGCCAACGTGTTTTGGAGAAAAACATTTACTTCATAATGTGATTTCCCCCCCACTATCAAGTCCTTTACTTCCATGAAAGGTTCGATTTTTGCTAATTTTTTTAATGAAACATCAAAAGGATAAACAATGCAGATTTATTTTTTACAGCCATTTTTGATCATATTTACCACCAGGGGTACCATTAATTCTGACCACAACTGTAATTGTGAAAATGTGTTTACAATGTTTCATTGCTCACTAAAGTGATTAACACAAAGGCATTCACTGGCTTTGATCAGAAAATATATAGGCCTGTATATATAACGGCTGCTTATATAAAACCGAATGCAACATTAGCCTAATTGAAATGAAGTTGTACATTGTTATCACAAGACCTCATTACATGTGTTTAATTCATAGAGGAACTAATAAAAAACAGGTTTTTTTTATCCAAATTTGTGTAGTATATTAACTTCAATAGTTAAAAAAGGTGTTAAAAACACATGTAAGCTTTTGGCTTATTTGTGACTGAAAATGGAAGGTCAGGTTGAGTGCATCGCAATCAGTATTCTGTCAGATGTAGAAGGTCATTCATGTATTCAACTATTAAAATGCACAGAGAATCAATTCTGAATTTTTTTTAAAAAAAAACAAGTCTATGCTAATAGCCTATTGAAAACACTTTTCCAAATGCATGTGCATATCAAATCTGTTGGTACACTGGAAAAACATGAAAATGTCTCAAATTAGTTCCAGAAGAAGGTAATAAAACATTTTAATAATTTCAGAAACTAGCTTTCAACTGCCAGAATGAATATTGTTGTAGTCGGCTTAGTTTTATTTATGAAATCCAATGATTTAATGTCGCATGAGTCGCATGGATTAAACTTGGATTTCTTGGCATTCGTATCTTATGAACCAAGTAAAATTTGATTTGGAAGGTACTATCGCCATCTAGTGGTTATGCAAGGCGGTGAAGGAAAAGACCAGACAGTGGGGAATTGTGAGTCTATTTCATGCAAAGAGAGAAAAACCCTGAAAAATAAATGTTACTTGTTATTTTTGTAATTATTATTTCTACAGAATTCGGAAATATTTTTGAACGGCTGTTGAAAATGCAAGACGCCAGATGCTGCAGACGCTACACCAGCAGGGGGCAAACAGAGCCATTCTAACCAGCCGAACCTTCCTTTCTGCACAACAGGACACACAAATGCACTCAGCTTGACTTTGACTACTGATGAAACAGAAGTAATATCGGTCCAGATTTTTAGAAACTGCCAGAGGTTAATATTTTTATTGGAAAAATGTTTAAAAAACAAACACACAATGTTTGAGGCTGAGGTCATGTGACAACAATGTAGCATATTACTGTTTGAAACAATTATTGTTGCATACAGTAGGCTATTTAAAAATGGTATAGGCAGTTAAATATTAGGCAGTAGGCCTATCCTTGTGAAAAAGTTAGTGCTTAATTGTATTGACTGTGTACTTGTAGTGCACTTCAAATCTTAAAAGTATATATATATATATATATATATATATATACTTGCAGATAATATCAAAATTAAAGATGGCTTAAGTGTACTTAGAGTTTACTTTTATGACTGTCTTAACTTAAGTAAACTATTAATGTCAAATTTAAAGTTTTACTTTAAACTATTTTTTTAATGAAGCTGTGATTTAAAGTACACCTATTAAAGTACATGTAAAGTAGGCCTACGTATTGTAATTTTAACTGTAGTGTGTTAATATTGCATTTTGAAGTTAATATTTCATTACTAAATTGTACCATCATTCCAAATGTGTAATTACAGATATTTTTAAATGCATGACATACTAATTTCGATAAAAATAACATTAAAGTATATTTTAGTTTATCAAAAATGCTTGCCAGTTCAGTCTGTAGTACACTTTCATCAAGACAAAATTATGAAATTATAAAAATGCAGTCCTTAAGTGAGTCAAAAAGCACTCTAAAGTACAGCTAATTGTATTTAATATACATTTAATTAAATAATTACATAAAATAAATATCATATATAATACCTCACCCTTTCCTATCTTCCTCCACAGTGCATGCATGGTGCACTATATATAATACATAATATAATATGCAATTAACATGTAATTAAGTGTTCCAAAACATGACATACTTAATTCTTAAGTATATAATTTCCGTAAAAAATACTCTTTAAAAAAGTATGCTTAAATGCAGTAAGCTAGTATTCCATTCCAGACATAAACCTAAAACACTTTCGAATCCATAAATAAAATCAGAATTATTTCCTCTCACAAGGTAATAAAATAACAAGCTTCACACATATTCTGTCACTCTGAATCACACTAGAAAATGAACGTTCTGTGCAAACAATTTATTGTGCACTAAACATGCACAATGATGTTTGTGATGCAGCACAGCTTTAAACACAGAAACGTACCAAACTCCAGGCTTGCCTGTTAGTTCTTCATATTTATTTGTGCAAATGTTGCAGAGGTCTTGAAAAACAGAGGATCAATTTCAGCATTCATAAATAACATTCAGTTTGCATATTAAGTCAAAACCTGGATAACAATAACACCCATATACCCATTCCCATTCAAACAAAAAGTGTCCACACATACAGTAGCACATGAGTCAAACAATGAGTAACTAAAACATTACAGTATTGCTGCATTGAGACTTAGTGCATTGAGACTGTCTGATTACTTGTTTACTGATAGACAGCAGTGGGTCAGGAATGCAACGTGAAGAACAGCAGATGTGACGAGGTTTACAGAGAAACACTCATATTACTTTTCAACTAGACCTTCAACACGGTGATCAGGAGACTCGGAGGCTTCATCTCATCCACGTTAACAGGTACTTGTGCACACTAATACCATGTTTCAAACACAATGTTACAAAATCATGCTGAGGTCCTTTGGGAAAAATAAGAATTCAACAAGACTCAACATGATGGATGAAGAATGATTGTGAGCTATATTCTCCAGGCATACTCTTTTTTTTTTTTTTTGCATAAAGATTGGTTCTTGCTTATTGAAGCTTGACCAATGTATCCACAATGAGAAATGGATCCCAGAGTTCATATTGAGGACAACACTGTTCTTGTTCCAATATCGCTGTTGTGATGAAGCTCATTTTGGAACTCACTGTTAAGAATGACCAGTTGTCTTAAGGGCAATTGCCCTGCAGTTCACTTTTGAGACCTTTGTGCTTGTCTTTATGAAAACACACTGTATATGAATTACAAAGTTTTCCAGTCATCAATCAGTTAACGGAAGTCCATACTTTATACCTGCTCTCCAGATTGCAGCGTTGATTGTATTCCTCAACAGAACAGGAAGACCATAACACTACTGTCAGTTTACTAAAGCTGGAGGTCTTTCTGGAAACATTAGACCTGTTTGTTTGGAGTCCCAACTGAAGCCACCCAACAAATTGATCAATCTTATGACGACAAACTCAAATAATCCAAGAAATGGAATCAATGTGCACCACGACAGGACGTGGCAGGTTCATGGAGTTCACGCATTGCTCAGCGCAGAGAACTGAATTTTGGGTCTCTGTTCTTGGAGTCTTTCCTTCTTGAACTGTGGCTGTGATGGGGTCTTGGAGAGGAGTTGGATGTCTTGTGGGTGTGATGACTGGCTTGTTTTCCCTTGGATCTGTGGTGGGAGTGATGTTTGTGAGGGGTGTTGGTGGACTGGCGTCCTGCAGTGGTCTCCAGGGCAGGAGAAGGGGTGACCTCTGGAAGAGGCTCCAAGAAGGCCGGCGCTGCTTGAGGTTTGGCCTGCGGACAGGAGCTTGTGAGGAGAGGAGATCGAGAGGCCGTTTCCAGCAGACCTTTGGTACCATGCGTGCACTGTGGAGGAAGATAGGAAAGGGTGAGGTAAGAATGGACGAAGGGTTATGACAGAAATAAAAAAGAACCAGGGATATGGGAATGGGTGTGACACAGACAAAAAAAAAGGAAGTAGATTCAAGTTAGAAACAGTGGAAGTAAAAGCATTTTGATGCGGTTTAAAAGAGAAACGTAAATTGCTGAGCAGTAAGCAACAGTCAATCAGATCTCAGCGTCTCTGTTGACTCATGCAGATGGTTCTTCTTTTGTTCTGCTATATAGAACTGTATATGACCACTTAAGTCATATAAATTCTGCCCGGAGAGAACAATGGAAATGAACAACAGCAAAATCATGAGAATCAGAGATGAGATGAGTCAAATCAGAACAGACAGACACAAAATACAGATTAAAGATTAAAGATTAAATCTAAAATTTACTCGCCCTCATGTCGTTCCAAACTTATTTGACACTATCTCCAGTACACTAAAGGAGATGTTTAGCAGAAGTTCTTGCTGCTCTTAAAATAGGCGTTCCGAAAACGACAAACAAGAGCACTAAAATACAACTAAATAACTGCAAATGACAACATTTGGGTAACAATATTTCACTGAGTCTGTTACACGTTGCATGTACTTACTACAGTAATAACAGTAAATTACACGCAACTAACCCCAAACCAAACCATATTCCTAACCATAACTATATAGTAAGTACATGTTCATTAATATTACTCAGTACTTAATTACACTGTAACAAGGACACCTTTAAATAAATTGTAACAATTTCAAATCTAGCCATAATTTGACACTTTCTAAAACTTAAGTGTGTGTTTTCTTCAGATATCATCTTTAGAATGTGCATCAGTATCTTCTGACACACGCAATAACAAACACAATGTGAGCCGTGGTGTCCGATTCACAGGCGCGAATCTTGCGGTATGAATCATTCTCGCTCAGTCAATGAGTCACTTACCCTCACTAAACCACAATGCCGACATGACCAAACACAAGAACCATTGTGATGTATATTTTAGACACTTACATGTCACATATTTACTGACTGGTTTTTCATAAGACGTGCAATTAAAAATGCAAATCCACAACAGAGTTTTGTTGTAATAAATGAATAATGGAATTCTAAAAGTAATATGAAAAATTGTGAACAGTAAACCGGGACTGTGAGGCTTCAACATGCATTCACTGTATGGGAAAGAACCGCTAGGACATTCTGCTTAACATCTTTTGTTATTCACAGAAGTAATTATACAGGTTTGGAACAACATAAGGGTGAGAAAATGACAAAATTTGTCATTTCTTAGTGAATTATCATCACTACGATTTTGGTCCACAGCATGATAATACAGCTTGACAACAGACTAAATCAAAGTCCAAGTCCAAAATATATTGCACACATATATTTACGCAAACTAAACATGAAATAGTGGTTAGTAATCAGAATGGGAGGAGCAGTGCTGATTGTGTGCTGATGCTGTAAAACATCAGGCCAGACGCCGTGCATCAGCACTACCAGCTCTGCCAGCAGCAGTCAGGCAGCATGCAGGCCAAAAGCATGTGGAGCCAATGTGACGCCACCTACAGGAATCTATGAATGTGCCCAAAACACCCGCCTGAGTCTTACCAACCTCCCTACAATCCCCTACTTCTGCCCACTGAACCATCAGCTGGCACAAGACAGGGCGAAATCCAGGCAATCTTTTTCCTAAACACACATGCACGCACACACACACACACAGAACAAGGGTTAATGTGCTAAGACCGGTAAGTGTAACATCACTAATGTGCACTAATGCATCGGAACATGCCAGGAAAACCACACAACTGTCAGTGTGCCCTAAACAAACAACTCGCCCTACATAATTAAATCATGGCAGAAACAACAAATGTACATGCAGGACAGGAATTCTGTGGTTTAGTTTGAAAAAATATTTATTTAACATTAAAAGGCATTTTTAACATATACAAGCACAAATATGTTCAAAAAGTACAAAAATGTCAGGAATGATCATTAAAAAAAAATCAGGGATTTAAACCCATGCTGTCATAATACATAAAATCCCATAGGGAAATGTCCATGACACATGCAAACCGTTTCACAACATAAACACACACACACACACACACACACACACTATAAGGCAAGTATGAGAATAGCTACACTACTCCCACAACTGCTATTAACAGTGAACAGTGCATCAGTGAAGAGATGCATTAGCACCTTATTCATTTTATCAGTTTTATTCTGCAAATCAAACTGTTACTTTCCAAAGTTGAATAGAAGTCAAATTTCGATATTTTACTTTAGATTTCACAGAATACACGATGACATGGACTTTTCTGCCCCAAGTTACAACCAGAGAAATGTTCACAAACAATAGCGCTGTTTGTTTGTTTACTGATGTGATGAGAGGCACTTTTGGATGGTGATGAGGTTGACATCCGAGTATAAAACAACACATTACTAGCTGAGAAAAACAAATGACTTCAAGGCACATTCAAGTTGATAAACACCCACTATAAAACTACAAAAACTAAAACAAAAAACGTTGTTTGTTTGATTAAACAAAATAACCGAAATTATTCAAACAACTTAAATAGCCCAAGTTGTTTGTATGCTCAGATTATAATAAAAACAACTTGAGTTACACAAACCTTAATAAATAAAGGAAAAATAAACAACATTTTGTTTGTTTATATCTGATGTTTTTTCAAGAGCACGATTGCATGTCATAATCTTGCACATCTGTGAGTAGAACAAAGGTCTTCAAACCTTCAAATAAAGGGCTTTAAAAACAAACACCACCATCACATGAAACTACAGCGTCTTTCCTGCTCACCAACTCAGAATTCTACCTAATGTTACAGGAAGACAGAAGTTTCGTTTCCTCTTTCTGTAAATGTGCAACATGAAGCATGTCAGCTACACCCATTCCTTTGTAAACCATCTACACTCTAACCCCCTGATCTACGAAAGGAGCTAAACAGTCTATAAACATTTATTTCCCTTTCAAACTCAAAGTAAACACAAATCTCATCTGTCTGACTTTGACCAAGGCAGCACAGCCGTAACTGCTCTACTCAACGCCAAACAAATCTGAGATAGCCGCACTTGGCGGCAGCCCAGCAACTCGAACGCTGTCTGACATCTAAATAAAGGGTGCGGCCCATGCCAAAACGCATCAAACAACACAGCAAGAAGGGGGGATGCTCGGTTTGGAACAGACACAAGTAGTCAGGCGGTCGAGTGGTTCTGTATGAAGATGACAGGTTGCTGTAGGGTTACGACCGGGGGTGGAGGAGGAGGAGGAGGTCGTCGGCCTGAGGTGACTGCACGTCCTACCATGTTTATGTCGTTTTTAGCAGCTGGAAGTTCGATTTCCACCGGACTGGTCTGGACGGAGTCATCGGAGGGCACAAAACCTCGCCTGTCAATCAAACTGACAAGACGAGAGAGGAAGAATGGGAATCACAATAAAGCCACAGTAATAAATACAGGCTTTAACTGCCCTATTTCAGCCTGCCATGGCAAATATGCTTAACGTAACCTACTGATCTACACACGTCTCACCTGGGCGGCATGGGTCCACAGAGCACAGAACAGCAGTTTTTGATCATACTGTTGTAGCTGTAAGGATTTCCAACGTCCTCGTTTCCACTTTTCCCTGACCAGGAACCTTTAATCTGTAAAATGGAAGAAAAAAAAATACAGCTACACTTAAAAAGTACTTATTCTAAGATTTATGCATTTCAACTGCATCTAAAGTTTCCTTAAATCTCCAATTCATTTGGATTATACAGGTTTAACACAAACTGTGTTTGTAATGCCTATTTTGTGAGTCATGCAACAAATTAAACATGTAAGATTTCTCTAATAGCACTAAGGAACTAAATTTGTTTTAAATAACCAGGTTTATATATTTATCAATAATATTCACCAGTCAACTTTTCAAACTGGATGACCACAAACGTTGTTTATGTGTCTACGTGGTGTTTTTAATATGCTTGAAGACAAACCATGTGTAAATTCATAAGTCAACACCATTGCTGAGTATTTTCTCCTTAAAACTGCAGTGAACCAAAGACCGTCTCAAAAACGCGGTTTCAAATCGTTGGTGTTTCTGACATCTCAAACTGCCTTGTAACCAATCAGGTCAATGTGTGATCGTCAATGAGTGGATTTCTGAGCTGGTGTGAGTGAGTGGAGGCGGGGCTAATTAGCATATTCCTAGAACCACGTATACTAAATGAGGCAAGGGTGTACAGTTAAATACAAGCTATATTTTAAGGCATTTCCAAGGAAAAAACTTCATTTGTCATTTTGGTGATTACAGATGAGTGTTAAGGGATACAATTGACTATGGGACTTTAACAACCCTCTGTCGACCTTGGGCAGGGATACAAAAAAATGTGGAAATACAAGCTGTAGTTTTCACAAAAGCTCTAGATGTAGAGACTACAATATATTAACTATAAACTAATAGTTTGTTAATGATTTGCAAGTACTTTAAATTTGTATACTCATTATAAAGTGTTACCAAAGACTTTTGCTGACAAAAAAAAAAAAAAAAAAAAAAAAAATGAATGTGAATATCTTGTTCCAGGTAATATGGAGAGAAAGAGTAAACATCATCATTCATTTTTTATTTACTACTGACTCTGTAACAATATGAAGCAGGTAGAAAATAGGCAAGGTTACACTTTAAATTTAGGTCAAAATATATTTTTTGATAGAATAGAGTGTATTAGAGACAAAAAACTGCTTTATTTCAGAATAAATTAGCCCTGAAATTAAAAATGCATCTCTTAGGCTATGAAAGAAAAACACTCACATCCTCATTGGTAGTAAGATTTGCAGCCACCAGGTATGTATGGAAGCCTGAGAGGCCCAAAATGGACCATACAGAAAAGAAGCAAACCACTAACTCAAGAGCAGTGGACAGAAGTCAAGGAAGGCTTCAGAATTTGAACAAATAAAGAAATAAAAATGAACACAATACAGGAATATACTGGGTTAATTACAGCTTGATCAACAGCATCTGTGGCTATAACTTTGACTAGTCACTCAAGCAGTGCCTTTGCACTTATAATGGAAGCCTATGGGGGCAAGTGTAACAAAGTACGAAGCCCCACACATGACTTGGGAGAGGAATTACGAGGCCAGAAATTAGGAATCTGTTCACTATTTTTAGTTAAACTGTGGCCACAATAGAACTAAATAATTAAAAAAAGAGGGGACAGATTTGTACAATCTGGTCACACTTTACATAAATCAGGGAATGAATTTGTAAATCATGGCCATGGTTCACCTAATACAAAGAGAACAAATTAATTAGTCTTGGGAACAATTTTACTAAAATGAAAGAACAAATGAATACAACATGGCCACAAATTAAATCGTGGAAACTAATTCTTAATTTGTAGCCAAGATATCTGTATTTTGTTTAAAAACAGAAATGTGATATTTGAGGCATTGTGAACAATCACACTCGGAAAAAGTGTCCAACGTAAAAGTTTTTTACTACCACACAAAAATCAAAGCACTGTATTTGAACATTTATTCCAGTGCAATGTCTTGCCTGATTCGATTTTGAGGGACAAGTTGAAACTATTTTTGCCGTCTCAGACGCTGTTCATAAAGCTTCAGTGTTTTCATAAACATCTGAAATCAGACATCAAAAATGAAAGGATATCTGGCAGGACTCGCTTGGAGAGCAACAACCAACCCATTTCCTCCTTGTGACCCTATAAAAGAGAACATTAGTCAATAAAAGCTTATCTCAGCTCATAAGCCATTTAAGCCCAATAAGAGATACACATGGCCTCTTACAGGCTCATTTGGCAACTGTGTTTAACTTTACAAATGCATTCATATGTTTGTGGAAACTGTGATTCATTGTAAAATGATGTGTAAAATAAAAGCATTAGAAAGAAATACCTAGTCTTGTTACAAATCTGTTTACACAAGAGAAAATGATCTGCTATCACCGAACGAATGTTTCAATTCACACACGACTCACTGTTACATATCTTTGCTCAAGCTCAAAGACAGAAACTGTTGGCAAGTTAAATGATATGACACATACTTAGAGCCAGGTGTGTGGTTACACAACCGAAGATGAAGGCCGTGAGGAAAGAGAGCGAGACGACAAAGGTGTAGAAGAAGCGGTAGTTTCGTTTTCCCACACAGTTCCCGACCCAAGGGCAATGATGATCGAAGCGCTCTATCAAAGACACAAGACAGCAGGGCGTCACAAGGTTCTTGATTTATTACAGCAATAATTAAAAAGTCTGCTGGCTTAAGAATAAATGAGAACTTGAGAGATTGAACCAAAATACAAACTGGTTCAAACCGGCTTGCATAAATCTATCACTATTAATAACACTGCTACATCTGAGAAAAATAACATCCCACATGGATTCACAAGCAGAATAGTGTGAAACTGCAAACAGAAAAAAAATATATTTTGTCATTTAATACTGAATGTTCCTAGATTACATTTTATGAAGACATTATGAGTGGTGTTTGTCAGAAAAAAATAGAGTGCAACAGTGAAGTAAAAATCTAATTAATTTCCTTCCTAGGGGAACTGATTCAATTTTGGAATTGATTTGTGTTCAACAGCTGAATTCCTAGTGAAAAACTACATTACCATGATTCTGCAAAAAAAACTAAAAAAAAAGGATAACAATCGTCACGCAAATTGCGACAAAATTACACTTTAGCGCCCACCCACTCCTATAAAGCTCTGCAAATTACGTAATAGAGTATGTCTTCCCGAGGCTCTCGAACTACTTATAATAAATATAATTACTTGATAAAGAAAAGTTGTAATTGCGATTTATTTTTATGTTAAAAATTGTGATTGCGATAAAAGGGGTGCACAATTTGGTAAAAATGTAGATTATATCTCAATATAGCTATAAAATAATACATTAAAATAAAAGTTACTAAACTAAAATTTAAATAAAAATGACTAAAAAACAAAAAATATTGGTACTGATATATTTTACTGTAAAAAAAAAAATACTATAATGTCATTTTACATTAAATTCTTCCTTTCCAAACATTAAACCAACAAACCTGTTTTGATGGAAAACCGCCGGGAGCTTAAATCTTCTCTTTTGTTAAAAAGTGCTTCTCGTCACAATTAGGGGAAAATGTTTGGAGCAGGTTAAATGCATGTTAAAGCGACCCAAACTTTTGGAGTTTTTTTGGAGCAGCATTTACTGTGAACCTAGCCGTTATGAGACGCTGAAAACACAGGTGGATCATGAGCTGCTCACGTTTAATTGAACAAAGAGCTGCTCTTCACTCTGAAACATGCTAGTGTTGTCAAAAGTACCGACTTTGGAACCAAGTCGGTAATGAAATTTTAAAAATGTGACGCTTTGAAGCGCTGTTGAGCGGAATCGGAAACACCTCTGATTGGCCATTGTGTTCATGCGCTCATCGGAAATGTCTGTGATGTGATTGGCTACAATGATCAACGCACTTTCAAACGCTCCCGTGTGTATCTGTGCAAGCGTTCAGTGAAGAGCGTTATTGATGTACTGTATATTTACAACATGTTTTTGAAGCGCTGATCATTGTAGCCAATCACAGACCTATTTGATGAGCGCGTGAATACAATGGGGAATCGGAGGCATTTACGATCCTGCTCAACAGCGCTCAAAGAGTCACATTTTTAACATTTCATAGCCGTTGAAATTTAATAATCGCACTAAGCCATATCGTGATTTGGGTTTTATTTCGATTAATAGTGCAGCCTTACAAGGTCCTGTTAGCCTCGTGAGACCATCCTGATCTCGCGAGCTTTCAAGGTTTCACTCGCAGATCAGTCTGGATACTTTCCGTTAAAGAAAATTTGGGAGCAGTTCACCAAACGAACGTCCAATCAGCGTTGGCTTTGAGGCGGGTTGAGGTGTGACGCAACGAGAAGCGCGTCAGTTCAGTCTAAAGAACATGTCGGCTTCAGCGGATGAAACTAGCATCAGCGTGGCTATCGAGCAAGTTTTATCGGAATTACAGAGTATTTCTTCACTGAAAGAAGAGCAAAACACTGCTCTGGAGGCTTTTCTCAGAGGAAAAGATACGCTCTGTTAGTACGTCATATGCTTCGTTGATCTGATTGGTTGATTTGGCCCGTCTATCACCAACATAGGCCAATCAGCTAACCAGTATTTTCGCCCCTTACCAAAACTACTTCAACGGAAGGTTTCCAGATGGATATGCGGAGCAAATCCATCTGGCGGAGTCAGGTTAAGGTCCTGTTGCACTACGACGTTGCCATGATGACAAATTGCTATGGTGTTCTAGGTGATATCTGGGTGACCTGCTTTCTAGAGCTGTACAGCATGGCGCTAACATTGCTAATGTCATGGGATTGATGCAGCTTTAAATAGAAGCATATGACAAATGCATAAAGGTAAATGTAAACTTCTAACATGAAGTATAAGCAATAGTAAAATGGCACTTAGATTAGCAAACGTCGCTAATAAAAAACAGCCCCGGATTTGTTGGCCCAAGCCAAATAACAAAGCTGGATCTCACTGTTCTCTGCCGTACACTCACCCACACAGTTGTCACACAGGCTGCAGTGGGAGGTGCGCGGTGGGCGGAAGATCTTGCAGGTGAAGCAGTACTTGAGTTTAACCACCTGCTGATTGATGATGACCTCCTTAGTGCGTGGAGGGGGGCGGTAGGATGAAGACGAGCCTGTTGGGTTGTCTGAGAGAGAGAGAAACATGTGGCAGGAAGGAATTTCAATAACAAAAGTTAAAGAAAACAACAAAACTATGCAGTTAGGATCATTCTGATTTTTAAAAGCTCTTATTGAACAGTTTCTAATAAGTGGCTCTAAACAGCTAAGACTTCCTGTTTATTGGAACAACTAGACGAACAGAATAAGGTGTTAAGCACAAAAACAAGAAAAGACTATTCTAAAGCAAGATACAATAAAAGCAATACTGCTTTTGTTGTAAGCTTGAAAAAAAACTCACTGCTTCACATGCAAAAAACTACATTAATAACATTAAGCAAAACAGCAATCAAAAAAGCTCTGCTTCAGAAAAAGACTTGGCGTTTGCCATTGTATTCCTCTCTGTAAGTCACATTAAGTAAAAGCAATGAATGCACACGGTCCTATTCTGTTTCATACTGTCCAAACTAATTTGGTCCTTATTTTATTGACTGGATAATCTTTTCCATCCAATTCATCTAACCAGAGGCACACAATCATGCTTACAATAAAATTTAATCCAACATGTAAATGAAATTGGCAAATGTAACGTTTAAATGAATGTGATCACCTCAATAAACTGTAAACTACACAAACAAAAGATACGGAACTTGTTTTTGCATTCCACTGTGCTGCATTTTCATTGTTTTCCCTGTGTAAATTTACGCTTGATGGAAGTCTTTGACCAATCTCGCATCTTTCGCTGTGTCTCAAACAAGACACATGGCTTTCTAAAAACATGGTCTCAAAATAAAAGATGTTGGAAGAAATGCATCAGTAGACACTGGGTTTTTTTTTTATTCCACTGACCGGGGTATCCCACAAAACCTGAGAAGCAGGGTAGTGGAGTGAGAAAGACACCACACACCCACACATCTAGAGAGAGATGAGTTTTTAAAAAGTTGAACTCCTAACTTGAGTGCCGTGCATTAGGAACACACAAGAAGCTGCAAAAGACAAGGGCAACAGTGTCAAACCCATTTACCGTACATAGAAAAACTATGGAAAAGCCTCTAATCCGTAATTTTCTGATTCCAATTTAGTCAATCACATCATAAACTTTACCATATACAGCAGTGGTTCTCAACCTTTTTTGGGCCAGCGCCCCCTATCCAATATCCAGGTCCCCGACCGCCCCCCACCCCCAAACTAATGAGCGAGCAGGAACGAGTAACAGATGAAATAAGTACAAAATTGTCATTTATTAATACAATCGAACTATACTCCACAGCGATTAATCCAAAAAACAAGCTATAAACTGCATTGAATAGCAATAGCAGTGTTTCTCACAGGATTTTTGGTAAATCTGTGGTGGGTGAACCTCGGGCCTTCTAGGGGGGTTCGGGGGGCAAGCCCCCCGTAAGAAAAATGTGTGCATTTTAATGTTAAATGCATCAATCTGGTGCACTTTGAGAGTTCAAAATTAAAAGCTCCAACCCATATTCAGTGTGCATATTAAACAAAGAAAAATTCAAACCTCTTTTAGTTGTGTTTGTCTACATTACACTACTACATAATAATAGTTATATTATATTAATCCCATGACATAAATAGCCATATATTATAAAACAAATGCACTGAAAAATAAAGGACAGTCATTAAAGCGGTAATGTTTGCACGTAGGTTTTATTAGCATTTAGGAGAGTATTGCAAGAAGCTGCTTACATTAACCTTACTTAAAAATAAATATACAATCATGATTTTTCATGAAAAATTATGTTAAAATTGTAGGCCTAAAATACCTTGGTATCAGGTATAATTAATACAATTACAATTAATTTGGTTTGTCGTGATTAATTTGTTTTCATAATCAGTAAAAAGAAAAATCTTCTAACAAGAATAAACACACGAACAATTCAATTATTATTGTATTATTAATTGTTTTTATATCTTGAAACTAACGTTACCCAAGCAGCGTTTCGCTCTCAGATGTGATGGCGGAATGAATAGCCTACATTACCAAAATGTGATTGCAGAATATATTTAAATATTAATATAATATAAAAATTATCCATCAAATTGTCATTTTCAAATTGAGTTAACAATAATGCCTGACCAGTAAATTACTTGGTGAACAAAGAAAACATTTTGGCATTAGGCATTGGAATTAGTTAATGCCTAAAAAATTTAAAGTTTTACCTTATAAATAGAATTTAGTTTAATTTTGAAATTCGTCGCCGGAGTAAATGGGAACATGATTTATTGAAAATATTTGAAAAAATAGAAGTGTTTCAATACTTAAGTCAATACTTTTTAATGGCATGTCAACTTTCCATTCCTCCGCTGCGTGACTCTTATGGAGGGATTATTGGGACAGATTGAAAACTAAAAGTCTAAAACTAAAAGTCTTAAACGAAAACCAAAAGTCTAAGTTTGAAACTAAAAGTCTAAGTCGAAAACTAAAAGTCTAAGTCAAAAATGAATTTGGTATTTAGGATTGGGCATTTGGTATTTAGGATTGGGCATTTGGTATTTAGGATTGGGCATTTGGTATTTAGGATAGGGCATTTCGTATTTAGGATTGGGCATTTGGTCATTTAGCCATTTAGGATTTAGGATTGGGCATTTAGGGATTTAGGATTGGGCATTTAATCATTTAGCCATTTAGGATTGGGCATTTGAGGATTGAGGATTGAGGAGTGTATGCAAATAAGGAGGCGTGGCCCAAATACTGGAGGCTGGGTTTGAAATGGCTGGTGCAGATGCACCGTATGGACAGCAGAGGGAGCTCCAGTGCTAAGGAGCACACTGTAATGAAACCAAACAGAGCGAGTGAGCAGGTCTGGAGCGAGGACTGTACTTTATAATGTGATAACTTCAACTTAATGACAGCGTTGTATAGGGGTACTGGAACGGTACATGTATTCCTATTGAACCGAACCGGTAGCCTACGGGCGTCACAGTTCGGTGCACGAATTTACACGGAGAATACACGGTATAAAAATAAATAAAACTCTAAATAGCGATACATTTCGCTCTACTCGCGTTTGGTGTGAACGCAGCATAATAAACAGGCTGCGATATCAAGATTGCAATGCTGGAGTGTGTGTGTGCGCGCGAGAGAGAGAGGGGGAGGCGTGGGCGCGAACTAACTAGGTGTGTGTGTGTGTGTGAGAGAGAGAGAGAGAGAGAGAGAGAGAGAGAGAGAGAGAGAGAGAGAGAGAGAGAGAGAGAGAGAGAGAGAGAGAGAGAGAGAGAGAGAGAGAGAGAGAGAGAGAGAGAGAGAGAGAGTGTGTGTGTGTGTGTGTGTGATTTTGGTTGGGTGACAGTTGTAGGTTACAGTTTGACAAGATTTTAGAGTGTGACAAAAGCACAATGTTGTATTTTATTGCGAGTGTACACAAATATACACACTTTGCAGTTTGAACTTTGCAGCACACACTCCAACATTGCAATCTTGATATCGCAGCCTGTTTATTATGCTGCGTTCACACCAAACGCGAATAGAGCGAAATGTATCGCTATTTAGAGTTTTAATTATTTTTATACCGTGTATTCTCCGTGTAAATTCGTGCACCGAACTGTGACGCCCGTAGGCTACCGGTTCGGTTCAATAGGAATACATGTACCGTTCCAGTACCCCTATACAACCCTGTCATTAAGTTGAAGTTATCACATTATAAAGTACAGTCCTCGCTCCAGACCTGCTCACTCGCTCTGTTTGGTTTCATTACAGTGTGCTCCTTAGCACTGGAGCTCCCTCTGCTGTCCATACGGTGCATCTGCACCAGCCATTTCAAACCCAGCCTCCAGTATTTGGGCCACGCCTCCTTATTTGCATACACTCCTCAATCCTCAATCCTCAAATGCCCAATCCTAAATGCCTAAATGATTAAATGCCCAATCCTAAATCCCTAAATGCCCAATCCTAAATCCTAAATGGCTAAATGACCAAATGCCCAATCCTAAATACGAAATGCCCAATCCTAAATACGAAATGCCCAATCCTAAATACCAAATGCCCAATCCTAAATACCAAATGCCCAATCCTAAATACCAAATGCCCAATCCTAAATACCAAATTCATTTTTGACTTAGACTTTTAGTTTTCGACTTAGACTTTTAGTTTCAAACTTAGACTTTTGGTTTTCGTTTAAGACTTTTAGTTTTAGACTTTTAGTTTTCAATCTGTCCCAATAATCCCTCCATAGACTCTAGCCAGCGCTGGATTGTTGTCAGCGCGAAACACATGTTTGAGCGCGTGAATGCAGATTCTAGCCAGCGCTGGATTCTAGTCAGAGCGCTGGTCTATAACTGGAAAAATAATATAGTCGTTGCAAAAGTAACGATACATAGCTTAGGCTACATGTACATTAAACTGGAAGAAGAATCACAACAAGCGTGTCGGTGAGAACACTCATTTAAACAGCATTCACACCCGAACTTGACTGCACATTATATTTTTGACATTATTGATACTGCTTTCAATCGTAATGCAATAGAAATGAACACAAAAAACCTGCTAGTATACTGACGGTGGACTTGCGGTCAGGAGTAGGCTAGAACGGCCGCGGACGAATGATTTTCTTTTTTTTATTTGAGCGCTGCTGACGTTTTCTTTCACGCGCACCATAGGCGTGCGTGCACACACAATATGACATCACAATCTACGCATATGTTTTACAACATAATTTAACATATATGCTGCCCTACAAAGGCAAAATACCTTAACTCGCTAGAGTGTGGAACTGAGAAAAATGACTTTAAAGATTTTTAGTTGTCCCGCCAAATTAATTATAGGTAGGACACTGAAAATCTGGCAATTAGATGTTTAAGTAATGACAATTATCTACATAACAAAATTTTGAGCTCAAACTTGACTTTTGACCACTATTTTAAAGTTACTGTACTCTGCCTTTGTATTGTCAGCAAAAAGTGAGAAGTCATGCCAAGGCAAAAGGCATAACTTCCACATTATTAATATTTGGTTGCTGATCACCATTAACAAAATCATTATAGTAAAACCTGTTTAAAATCTAGTGATCATGGC